ACGAAGAGCAATACAAAGGTTGGGTAGACTGTCTTCCAAGTTTTGGCAAAGAATAAATCGAAAAACATCTTGAGGAGACTTTGTTTTTTCAGAAAGTCGTCGTGCAATAGACTGGAGTTCGCCACACAAATCTGATGCAACTAAATCTCTGTTATCACCATGTTGTAAAACAGATTCTAGTTTCATGCAACATTCCAATATTTCTTGTAAAGTTTTACTCTGTAGACCATGAATATGATATAAGAAACCAAATACAGATTCAATTGTTCTCATTTGTTCAAACCTTTCTTCAACCGACCTTATTGCTGTGTCAAGTATAGCAAAGAAAAAATTCACTTTGAAATTTTGTTTTGGATCTTGCACAGGCTCATCTTCAGCTTCATATGCAAATTGCTTTTTTCTCCGCCGTAATCGTGGTTCTGCCTCAAAGGTTGGTGGTATCTCCAAATCCTTAGCAATTTCAGCAGCATCCACTAGCATTCTTGCAAAACCTATGTCACTCCTACAGTCAACCAAATAGGCTTGTGTGTGTTGTAACTGTTGTACAGCAGCATGAATATCCAAATCTTTAGCTTGGAGCTGCTTACTTGTTATATTGATTTCAAAAAGTATGTTGTACCATACAACAATTGAAACCACGAACTTAAACTTTGCAACACTATTCGCAAGTGCTTTAGCATCACTGCCTGCAGTGCTTCCTGAGGATCCAGTTAGAGAAGTATCATCAGCTATTTCTAGCAGTGCATCATATATTTTACCAAGTTCATATCGCAAAGGCTTTATAGCATCTATTTTGCTTTCCCATCTTGTTTCACTTAGAGGTTTAACAGTTAACGTAGGTTGATGACTAGTGAAAACTACCCACTGATGTGTTGAAGACGAAAAATATACATACACACGTTGGACAATATCAAAAAAACTTGTAGCCATTAGACAACAATTTGCAGCATCATTGACAACAAAATTAAGAGTATGCGCGCTGCAAGGAACAAACAATGCTCGAGGATTAATGTTTAATATTTTCTTTTGAACACCATTATTTTTGCCTATCATATTTGGGCCATTATCGTAGCCTTGGCCACGTAAATTATCAATAGGTAACTCCATTTCTTCTAGTTGTTGTATTATCGTTTCTGCCATATAGGCTCCAGTTGTTTTCTTTAAAGGTACAAAGCCTAAAAAATGTTCTTTGATACTAAACTCCTTTTTCAATGAATCAACTTTAACAAAACGAATAATTATTGTCATTTGCTCAACATGGCTACAGTCAGGAGTACCATCGAGAACTATTGAAAAATATTTCATTGCATTTGCTGTTTGTATGATTTTTTTCTTAATAGCATTTCCTAACAGTTGAATAAGTTCATTTTGTATATCTTTGCCAAGATAGTGTGTATGAAGCTCTTTATTTGATATCTTTCGTAGATGTTCGTTCATTAATGGATCAAAAATGGCTAAGTATTGCACAAATTTTAAAAAATTCCCGTTATTGGCACTGTACAATGTTTCATTTGTACCGCGAAAAGCTAGATTCTGTTCACCCAAAACTCTCACTAATGCTATTAAACGCTTTAGTATTTGCTGCCAATACTTTTCTTCATTCTTCATCTTGCGCAAAATTTCTGCATCTATTGTACTATCCCTCTGTAATCGCTGATGTAGTTCTTTCCACTTTTGATAGTTCTGCAAATGTTCAGGACTTTTCTCGTGGGAAGAAAGAATTGCCGCCATGTTTTTCCAGTCACTTGAACCTGTATGAGTTAGTGATGATATGCCAATTGCTTTCATACTGAACAGTTTGCAACAGAAACAAAACACTGAGTCTTTTAATACTGAATACAAGAGCCAGCTGCGACATAATTCTTCTCCATTAGGAAGTTTTCTTAAGTAGTGAAATACTGAAAACTTTCGATTGTTCTTATCATTTGGGAAACTGATATCTTTTATTTGCTGAGGTCCACGTTCTACAATGATTGCACGTGTATTATGATTAATTAGTAGAGGCCAAAGTGCTGGATCCTGTGGAATAATATTATCCGTTTTTTCTTCACTTGCTTGCTGTACATGTTCCTCGAGAGAATTATTCAATTGGCCATTATCTGCATGGGAAACGGGAACTGTTGAGTAAGAAAGTGTTTCACTCATCATCACATTATCATTATCAACAACATTAGATATTTCTTCAGCTTCCATATCAGTGGGAATCTGTCCACCATTACTATCCTCTTTAGTAGAGTCTTGTCGGCATATAAACTTTAGCAATGAACCCTTCTGTTTTTCTTGTTCCCTCTGCTGTTCAACTTTTCGCTTACGATATTGAGCTCCTGAAGGCTTCTTTCTCTCAGCCATATCTGAAATGTAACAAGAAAATAATAAAATAAATGAATGTTGCGATGTTTAACTAATACATTAATAGGTCTTCTGTGATTGGCTTCAAGAATAAATTATATATAGCTAGCTATAGTTTCCAACAGGTCTGAACAGCTCTGTAAGGTTTTAACAGGTTATCATTTAACTGTATTATACAAAAAACAACTTGGCAAAGTTATACGTCCTGCTAGTATTTTTTGTGTTTTTTTAAACGGAAATGGTAGTTAGCTACATGAATGAGATTTCAATGTGTAATTAGCTGGTGCAGATCAAGACATATTGTAGAAGCGACTCAACAAAAAATTTAACCTGCTAGATGCATTGTGTTTAAATAATTCAAATTTTATTTTGTATAGCAAAGTTATACGTATGGTGAAGTATAATAATAATATAATACGTAATATATAATAGCCCTAGATTTAAGCTAGTTATTATATATTCATGTAAAAAATATTTTACTTTTCTTAATAAGTGTCTAAAACTTAATATAAATGTATAATAGTATATAGAATGTCACTATTCATCTATATGTATATATATATATATATATATATATATATATATATATATATATATATATATATATATATATATATACATATATATATATATATATATATATATATATATATATATATATATATATATATATATATATATATATATATATATATATATATATATATTGTCAGTATAAATTATATAAAGAATATAGTCGACTAACTATTGAAAGTTGTTATGAAAATCACTTTGATTGTAAAGACGCCGCCATATTTGTTATGATTTAGATTGCGTTCGGTAAAATGTACGTACATATTGCTCAATGAGCAAAAGCGTTGTTTTTTGTTAGCATATAAAAAAACTTATCAATTTTTAGGCTCCCCTAAACTTTGGCGCCCTAGGCGATTGCCTAGTTCGCCTATAGGGTGCACCGGCCCTGATCCTTGTCTAAACCTTGCTTGTTCGTAAAAAACCTACAAACCGACCTAGTTCTGTTACGAAACTTCTTTTATCTATACGTAAACCAAATCCAAGTTAAAAAGAGGAGCAGATACTTATGAAATTATTTTAGAAATACTAAACAATGCTTACAATTATTTTAAACAACTTGAAAATAAAAAAAAATTAACAAAGTAAAATGCGATAAATTAAATAAAAATATTTAAGTTTAACTGTTACAAATAAAATTTAAAAAAGAAAATTGGACAAATTTGAAAATGGAATGTTTGTAAGTTCCAAACATAAAGGCAAAAAAATTCAAATGTTTATGTGGTCTATCTATCTAGCAATTTAAAATCCTGTTTAATTGTGAGGCAACATACTGTCACCTAATTGAATACCCAGATTGTAAAGGTACAGGAGTTAGATTCCTTGATAAGAAAACCGAACTGTTATCAGTTTTAATAACGTCCAGACACTTCATCTTAGTCTTATTGGAATTATGGTGAGTGCGTCTAAAAGCACCATGTATCTTGTGTTTACTGGGTAGGATGTATTTACATGTTCAGAGATCAACTTAAAAGTTGAAAGGAAATTTAAAAAATTAAAACATATATTTCTCTGATGATACCTTCTGCTTTTAACAAAAATTGGCCATGGTAAAACTAATATTGCTGTGGATGCTACTAAATTTAAATTTTAAGAACCAACCTATTATGATCTTAATACATTAATGTTTTCAAGTTATAAAAACTGCACAAAAAGAAAAGCTTTAATTGGAATCCCTCTATATGTACCAGGTTTGCCTTTTGGAAACATATCTTGGTTCAATCACAGGTAACGAACAAACAGAACAATCTCATATTATAGAACTTGTTGAAAAAGAACATGAAATTATGGCAGATAGAGGGTTTTCGATTCAAGATTTCGATATGGCAGATAGAGGGATTTTAATTCAAACAGAATATATCTGAATCGTCTATCTGAAAAATCTAGCCACCAGTTTCCACGATGTTTCTGGTAATTTTGATATAGCCTCTACTCGTTCATAGGATGCGTACGTGATTGGTACATTTTTAATGGTGTTTGGCTGATACAAAGAATAGATATACTTTTTTCAACATGGAAAGTATATCATGTTGTAAACCTTACAACGCGCCTTATTGGGCCAAAGGATAAATCTTACAAATTATATTTTGTGAATATATATTAGCATATAAAAAATATGTTTTTTTTTGTATATAATAATATTCTTACGGCAATAAATTTTTTTTTAAATTTACAGCAACTTTAATAGAGGAACTAATGTTTCTAGAAGTTCTCTTATATACGATCTTAGTGGTTTTAGTCCATTAAAATAGTAGCGAGCAAAGAATTTCTTGCAATTTTTAAATTGAGTTTTAATGGAAAATGCTATCTGATATTTCCTTAATAGCTGTTATTAGTAGATAATTAATTTGAATGATAATTTGAGTTCTCTGTTTTAGGATGACCTTCCCGTATGAAAAGTCGCTAATGTCATAACTGGAAAAAACCGCGGTTAAAATCTAAAAAAAGAAAAAAAAACAAAAAAAAGTTTTAAATGGACCACTAGTAAATAGTATGTATGTATTATGTCTAGTAAGTATGCGAATTAACGGGAAAAACCGTAAATCTAGACCGGCTGCCGAGATTGTATAATAGATAATAAATACTAAAAAATGAAATTATATTTTGAACAAGTAAAACGCTAAAACATTTTTTATGATTCTTTAGAAAAGTTTTCAAACTACTGTAAGCGCATCATAAATCTACCGCATTATTTGCTTTCGTCACCTGGCAGTATTGTATCAAAATAATAGCTTATCGATTTCAACTTCAACTAGCAGCATAGTATTTAATATATTGTACCATTTTACCTAGCAGCGTCGTATCCAGGAAATAACTTTTTTAAAGCGTTAGAAAGTGACACATTTATCGACATACTAAAGTTGTTTCCTAATTCAAATCGGCATGAAGGACACGAATGGATACCAGCTTTAAACGCTCGTTGAAGACAAGGCTATAAAAAATATACATAAAATAATTAGCTGTGCTTTATATTGCAAATTATTTACTCAAAAATCAAGAAAGGTTTAGTAGCAATATTACTATTTCTCTTATGGCTTTTTCATAGAAATAAAAATTTATATATACTATAAAATTTTTGAGAAGCCTTATTTAAATTACCTAAAGTACACTGTAAAAAAACTCCGTAGTATTTATCGGACTTTTTCCGTTGTTTTGTTACGGAAAAAATCCGTTTTCAATAAATTACGGTCTTTTACCTATACTTTATAGACTTGAAATAGTCACATCTTTTTATGGGATTTTGACCGTATTTATGATACGGAGAAGATCCGTAACTTTAAATAACGGACTTTAACCGTATATTTTAGTTTACTTTAGTATAGTCTCTACATTTACAAAGCGCCATAGTTCTTTTTAACGAAGAGAAGTTATACACGTTTTTAATTTTTTTTGTAATTTAGGCGCTGATTTGTTTTAAGAATGCTGTTATAAATAGATAGAGATATTTATTAAAGATAGGTACTTCTGAAAATTAGTTTCCTATATTATATAGGGTTTATATGGTATAAATATCTTTTCCTATGTATTGAATTTTTTAAATTTCATACTATTTAGTGTTACGTTTTTATAGTATATAAAAGAAACACTAAACAATATGAATTATAGAAAATTCAGTTAACAAGAAAAGGATTTTATAGCATTGTAAATAAATAAAACATAATTTACTAACAACTAATTAGTAAATATAATTCATATTGTTTAGTGGTTTTTTTTTACATACTATAAAAACTTAACACTAAAAAATATGACCTTTAAAAAATTCAATACTACCAATAATCTCTAAATAAAATTTTAAATAAAACTTGATTTATTAGTAATAAGTCTAGTTTTTTTTACAATTTTATTTAAACATTATATTGAATTTGCAATTAACAGTGATATATTTGAGATTATTTAGTTGTTTAGTAACATATATATATATATATATATATATATATATATATATATATATATATATATATATATATATATATATATATATATATATATATATATATATATATATATATATATATATATATATATATATATATATATATATATATATATATATATATAAACAAGAAAAAAAGAAAGAAAATAGAAAAATTGTATAGAGTAGAAGATTTACAAATAGCTAATAAAGTAAAAACAATGAAAATTGTTAAAGAATATTAATTGAAGAAAAATATTAAATAAACAGAACAACAAAAAGCAAAGTTAAAAAAAAAATGTTGATGAGATTTTTGAAAGAAATAAACTTTAATAAGTTTTTAAAAGAAAGCAAAAAAAAAAAAAAAACTACAATTTTTAAGTTTTAATAATTTATGTTGTTTGAATTGTTTATATTGTCGTGTATTTTTGTATATTTTTAATATTGTTGTGTATTTCTATTTTTGTTTATACTGTCATGTAACTTTGTGCATCGTTTATATTGACGTGTTCACATGTATATTGTTGTGCTTTTTTTTTTTTTTTTTGCTTATTACTTTTAATTTTAATACATATGAACACGTCAATAAAAACGATGCACAAAATTACATGACAGTATATATATGGTGTTATTGCTAATTATTTTTATTGTTGCGTTTTACATTTGCTGCTATTATTTAAGTGATTTCATATTTTTTTGTCTCATCATAATATTTAAATGTATCTTTTTGTTTTATTTTTTATTTTCTATTACCCTTCTGATCATTAAACGTTATGTTATCACATTCATTCATTATCTCTCAACTTAGCTCATTCACTTTTTCCTTTTTTGTTAGTAGTCTGGCTTTTTTTAATAGTTATTATTATCCTTTTTGTTATAATTATTTTTTGGTCACTATCTATATTATTACTTTTTGTTGCTTGTTTGTTTTTTGCTTTATTTGTTTATTTTATTAAGGTGTTACACCAATGAATAGTTCTTAACTATACGAGTGACATCGAACCTAATTTTGTTATTATAAATAAATCTGTATTTTTTTTTCAAAATTAATATAAATTTTGTATAACTTTATACATAACAAGGGTTTCTTTCAAGTAAACTTGATATTGAACATAAGTTGCACATTCTAACACTTAGTGCAATAGTGTCTGCTGTGTGTATGTTAGCTTTTTAACTCGACTTTTTTTAACTTTCTCTCTCATACCTTGTACATATATATATATATATATATATATATATATATATATATATATATATAATAAAATTTACGTAAATTATGTAAAAGATTATCCATAACATGGGTTCCTATCAGGTGAATTTGATATTGAACATAAATTGCACATTACATTTAGTGTAATACTTTCCTCTGTCTCTATGCTAACCTTCTTACTGGATTTCTTCTAACTTTCTCTCTAACATCCTTCATTCTTCTAAAAATCACTTACCTTTGGTCTGCAAAGGGGTTATGATGCTATTTAATGAGCTGAACTGGTTTTTGTGGGCCTAGGTATGTAGCCTCTATATAAGGTAGTTTTTCGGAAGAGGATAAACCACTTGGAGGGTAAACGCTTGGAAAGAAGGTATATATTAAATAAAATAGTATGTTAGATATGTAGTGCAGTCTAAAAAAAATCTATATTTAAATTATATAAAATTGTAGTTTTTGACAAAGATATATAAAGTAGAATAGAAATTTTGATGTTAATAATTGTTAAATTGTTATTTAATTATTTATTTGTATTTATATATATTGATTAATTTTGATTGTAACTTTTAAAATGAAATGCTATTATTGAAAGTTTTTCTTAGGTTCATGCCTTGGTTTCGGTTTCAACCCAACCTTGAATTTTAAATGTACCTGCATCTTCCATCCTTGAATTTTAAATGTACCTGCATCATCTGCAATCTTCCATTGCTATGCTAGATGATTAGATAGCTGTTTTCAAAGTTCCCTGGAAAAGTTGCCGGCTGAAATCATGGATTTACTTCACAAGAATGCTCATCTTTTGCCACGAAAAACACAAAAGTACAATGATAAGGGTCATTTGTGATATAATACTTTCATACTTGTTTATAAAAAATCTATAAAAATCCATAGCTTTTTCATATTACCTGCAATGTATTCTAGAACTTTATCTACTTCTGACCTATACTTCTATATCGCTACATCCTGATCATCTGTAACTGCATGCTCTACATGCTCGTTCTACATACAATTTTTCAACATTACTTTCTTTTCTTTTTTTTTTAATGTAATAATGATTTATTAATCTGATCTAATTATTGGTATTTAGATGTATCGCAAAAATGAATCGTGAAAAATGAAATTAAATTGAAAAGAAAAACTGGTAAAAAAGCAGTCGGACCTCACCCAAAAGTTTCAAGTTTTGTAAACGAACTAGCACTTAAGTGGACAGAGCATCAATAGATCAAAAGACGTTTTGTTTATGTTTATTATAACTATTATAACATAATATATTATAACAATTTTTATAATATACTATAATTTGTCATTAAAATATAAAATATTATTTGTTATCATAAATATTATATAGTATATAAAATACAATATATATATAATAACCACTACAATATAATATAATTTGTTTATAATTATTATAGCTATTGTAAGAAAAAAGTTTTTATCTGAGATTTTTATTACTTTATGTATATAACCTTCACTTCAATATATTATAAAAATTAAAATTACTCATAAAAACTTCATTAATTTTTATGAGTAATTTTAATTTTTATAATATATTGAAGTGAAGGTTATATACATAAAGTAGAGGTTTAAAAAATGAAAATATTCAGTAACGTAATCTGGGTATTTATAACAACATATGTTTAGAAAAAAATTGATGTAATTTTAGTTAAATGCTCCACAAATTGAACATAAGAGAAGAAAAAATGGAACATAAGAGAAGAAAAAATGGAACATAAGAGAAGAAAAAATGGAACATAAGAGAAGAAAAAATGGAACATAAGGGAAGAGACAAAATTAAATGTAGATTCATAGATATTTAAAGATTAATTTATTCAACAACTTATAATTTCACATACTTAAATTTATTATGACAATATTCGATCATAGCATTTAACATCAGTTTTTGAGATTTGCCGCTTGTTAATTATTTTGGCAGACAATATTTTTTTAAACAACCTAAAATTCAAATCAATATTTTGATTTCTAGTACATTAATATAAGCAGAAAAAAATGAATTAAATGAAAAAAGTAGAGAAAAGTAAAGTAAAGAAAAAAATTATAAAATATAATTAATAATTATAAAAACTAATATTAAATAAAATAGAAATAAAAACTCATACTCATGACGCATAACGCATAACTCATACGCTTAGTTCATGCTGTATATATACCAAAATGATGGAGTTCGAGGATTTTTAGTAAAAACACATTTTTAAATATGTTATTACCACTCTTATTACTATGAATCTTATTTTATTTTCAAAGATTTTTGTGATTTACATTTTTATCACTTTAAAACTGGAAATATCTTTAAAAGTACTTTCTATTGAGTTATTTATTGTGTTGAGAATGAATCTGACTGCTAAAAAGTCGAATAAAGTGAATGAAAGGCTAAAATATTGACTGTAAAAAGTCGAATAAAGGTTAAAGATTTTAAAATTCATGCCATTGGTTATATGGATGATGATATAACCAATGGCATGAATTTTAAAATCTTTAACCTTTCATCGACTTTATTCGACTTTTTACAGTCAATATTTTAGCCTTTCATTCGCTTTATTCAACCTATTTCTGCACTTCATATGCTTTATAAAACAAAATAACTATTTTAATCAAGAGGATGATTTTTATACTCTAAGATATTTTATATTCTGGTTAAGGTTAAAAAATTCTTACCTAAATCATTGAACATTCTAAACTTTTAGTATGTTATTTGGACCATAAATAGCATTAACCATTGCTTATATGAAAAGCTCTAGAATATGATATCTTTATTCTATCAGCATTAGAAAAAACCCAATTAACTGTTAGAACTGCAGCTTCATTATATATTTCACTGTTTACAGCTGTTGTATCATGAATAAGTTCAGCAATACATGCAATTGTTGCTTGTGAACTAAGTTCATCATTTTTAAATTACCAAATTAGGAAATATTTAAATGGCATTTGACAGGTTCCTTTAACAATTTTAGGAGTATTAAGCCATTTTGGAGGCCCATACACAGAAAGTTGTTCTTTTTTTTCCAGTAGTTTGCCTAAATGTTTTCCTGTCTCGATAAATTTCCAAAAATTCAGGTGAAACCCTTTCATAACTATATTGGTATAAACTGTGTCAATATTAATATCAAAACTTATTTACCAAAAATAATATAAAACTTCCTAAATTGATTTTGTCATTCTTATGCTGTTAACTACATTACGATGTCAACAACTACATTATCATGTCATTAACTACATTATCATTTATCATTATTAACGGTTAGTTGAGCCCTCTTCTAACTAGAATTTTGTCGATTCCAGCCAGCTTAAGGAAATATTGTTGGTCTTGTAGAAATTCCAGGCAAAATCTTGTTACCAACATGTTTCAGCAACTGAAACATGTTAGTAATTCTTTTTGCTTGTGTGAGCAATATCAAACAGACTGATGAGTTTTAGTTTAAAAGAAATTTATTTTTTTGTCTTCTTGTTTCAGGAATTTTGAGTGGCTCATATTTGGCTACCAAACAAATAACCAAAAGTTCTCAAAGATATTGTCAAATAAGTGATTTGTAATCCATCTTGCTTCTTTTCCCAAACTTTTTTTTTTTTTTACAAAGATTTTTTTATAATACAACTCTATTTAATAGTAGTTTTCTTTTAAAGTTATACAAGACAAGAAAAAACTAACAACCTCACAATTTAAAATAATTTTTAATGAATATAAATTGCATTTAATGAAGTCATTGGATCTTTAAATAAAGATTTAATGACTTCATTAAATACAATTCCATAGTGTCAACTAGATTATAAAAAAAGTACTAAGAAAAAGTATGAAAGTAAAGAGAGTGTATGAAAAATATTAGGATTATTTGAATTAATTTATGTTATACAACATAATGTTTAAAAACAAATCTTTGTGGGATAAGTACACATACTCATAAATTATTCAAAGTTATTATAATTATTCCTTAGTCATCAGGGCTTAATTTAACGGTCAGACATTGCCGCCCCCAGACTGTTTTTGAGATTTGAGGCAACAACCATTGTCCATTTTTACTGAAAAATCAACAATGGTTTGTTGCCCTCCTTTAGTAGGTCTCAAGAATGGTCCAAAGGGCAGCATGGTCTACTTAAATTACACAGCTTGATTTGTTGCATTTTCCATACTTACATGTTGCTAAGATTGCCTTAAACTCTCCATTGAAAATAAAATCAAAGGTTTGTAATTTTGCATTTATTATAATTGAAGTTAAACAAAGAAAAACCTTTCAACTAGAAATATTCATTTTGTCTTTGAAATTTATTGAATTCTTGCACTTAACCTTTCCTTACTGAATATGTAATTTATTTTTGTAAACTAGTACAAAAAATATTATTAACAATGCGAGATTTATACTTGATTCCCTATGTTTGTGATTTTTGCTAGTAAAATCAACACCGCTAAAACAAATCTTTAAAATTTGTTCTGCAAATTTTTAATTGTTTGATTAGAATAGAAAAAATAACATAGAATACTAAAAAGATTATAAATAAAATCAGACAAAGGTAGAATCTCTCCTCTATATAAAATAATGCTTATTAACCATAAGTTTAACATTTAAACCTTTGTTTAATTTTTTTACCAATACAACTTGCTATAGCATATAATATTGCAGTTGTTTCGTCAAATATTGCCAATGTAAGGTTGACAACTCATTTGTTGTTTCCAAGATAAGTGACTTAATAATTAATTTTTCAGTGCTTTTTTTAAATTCCTGTTTAGTAATTTAATAACATTTATGAAAAATAATCTTTGCAATGTAACCAGCAGTAACTTCAACTTCAGCAGTAAAATCAAATAAAAAAGGAAATTTTTTTTTTTCTTTCCATTCAACAAGTTGTTTCTTACATTATTCATAAAACGGAGCATATCATAAGTATAATAAGTATGTTATAAATACTCCTTTTATAAACTGTATGATAAATAAATAGTTTTCTATATCCAATAAATGCTTTATAAAACATTGAAAATGTATTAACATGATTAATAAAAGCTGCTGTTACAATGGTTATCTGTAACAGCAGCTTTTATTTTAAATTCAAAAAGGTAATACACTCATCGATTTCTTTTTTTAAACATAAACCTGTTATGCAAAGTTCAATTAAAGATTAACACAACATAAGAATACATTTTTGAAGCCATACAATTATAAAAATAAAAAAACTTCTTTATAAAGATTATTTTCTCAATCTTTACCAAATTTTTTACCACTTTGTTACTCGGCTGCTTATTGCAAATACATCTTATCCACATGAAGCAGGCAATCACTTAATACACAATTTTTTGTTAATATACTACAGTTTTTAATTTGTAATTTTCACCACTGCGAAACCATTTAGGTAAATAAATTTGATAGCCTTTATAAAACAAAGAAAAAATAAAGAATTTCTTTAACAGCTATTGACTTAAAAACAGTTGGCATGCCTGATATTTCTTGGCCTACTGTAAATAAATGTTTTTTGTTGCACTTTGATTGCTGCATGTTTGAAACATGTAGCATAATAAAGCATTTACATTGCAAAACATTGTTTTGCAGTGTAAATATTCCTAAGAAAAATCTGTTTTATTCCTAATAATTACAATTATAATAAATACAAAACTACAAACCTTTATTTATTTTTAAAAATTATTTCAAATGGAGAGTTGTGGGTAGTTCTATCAAAATGTAAGTTATTTTTAATAGCATGTTGATATATTTTGATATAGCTATCTGAAAGCCTCAGTATTCTGCGTGTCTTCCAGGAATAAACTGAAGCAGGTAATCAGTTAGCAAAAAATCCAGCACAAAATAATGTAAGTACTCAAAGAAAATCTAACTACTATTTAACCATTTTAATAAAACAAGAATAGAATATTTATAGTTCAAATACGACTCTTAACCATAACAAGAACTCAAGATTTCATAGATAATTCGTAAAAAAATCTGGCCTCTTAATTTTTTACGGAAAATGCAACAAATCAGGTCATGTAGTTTAAGTAAGCCATGAGGGCAGCAATGTCCGACCGATAAAGTGAGCCCTGAGTCATTAATAAAGACAGTGCGAATCCCGCTGAAAAACAATAATAAATAATGCTTTAAAATGTTGTCCAATACTTAAGCAAATAATTACTCAAACTTCCAATATCTTATGGGAGATCTAAAAACTATTCACAATTAATTTAATGGCATTTTTAGATCAAATCCTATCACTGGTAAAAAAAAAACTCTGGTAAAATATAAAAAAGTAAATTTTAAAACAAACCACATAAAGAGAACAATTCTTATCAAGACATTTAAAAATACCTTGCATGTATTATGACCACAATCAATAGTTATTGGTTGATAAACAACTTCTTGGCAACAAATACACACAAAACGATCTTCAACTGATTGTAAAAACTTCTAAATTAATTGAGTAACTTTGATTATATTTGAATACTATTTTATTAAATTTTGAGAATTTTCATTCACAACATTAACAAAAACATTACTATAGCAAAATTAATTGAGTAACTTTGATTATATTTGAATACTATTTTATTAAATTTTGAGAATTTTCATTCACAACATTAACAAAAACATTACTATAGCAAAAAGCTATATTTAATTTATACTTACTATATTAAAACAACAAGTTTGAGTTAAAGAACATAAAAATAAAAAATTAAATAAATTTCGTTAACTAAATAAAAAAAAATCCCAAGAAAATGTCTACTATGCATTGGAGTAGTCACACACCAATGTGAAGGTGGTAAAAATGCATTAAAAATATATAAAAACACATATATCATTAATAAAATTTTTTTATATTTTAAAAATAGAATTAAAGTTAACCTGGTGAGATTCAGGTTTTTCAATAAGTTCATCCCATATTTTTTTATTTTTCGAATCATCTTTTATAAGAGTCAGAAATTCAGTTTCAACTTTGTATGCAGTCTTCAATTTTTTAGGTGAAGATTTAGTAGAGTTGCTGTCTGAACTATCTAAATTAAAACAGTTTTATTTGATAATTTTTTTTTAAATTCTATCAACATTCAATGTTAGGCAAGTTAATAAGAGATTTTCAGATATAAAAGATGATATGTGGCATTTGTTGGCCTCGATAAAGCTTTCCACAAAATACAAAAAGACGTTGTGTCATGAACTTAGTAAAATCTTAGTTTTTTCTTATAAATAGTTGTTTTTTTGTCAGAGATGATATTTGGAAGTATATTTCAAAGTTTAGGACATAGTGGGATAATGCTTGATATCTGAAACAATTAATTAAACAATGCTTTTGTTTCCTTTAATTTTAGTGTTCTTTCTGACGTCGAGAAGTAAATTAAATTGCCTAATGACATTGGAGCTTCCTGGATAATAGGTTTGTGAATTATTAAAAGAACCTTAAAATAGACTATTTCTCTAATTTTCAGTCAATGCAAATTCTTAAATTCCTGATCATTTACTCTATGTTCTATTCTGGTTTTATATATTAATCTTGCTGCAGAATTTTGAACAGACTGCAGTTAGTTTATTAGTGTCTTTTCAATTCCAAAGTAGAGGGAGTTGCAATAATCTAGCTGTGAAATATTAGTGAACATACTATGGTGCACAAATCTTTGTGCGATAAGAATTGTTTTGTTACAGATATTTTTCTCATTATATAGTAACAGTTTTTAACAATCTTATTTATATTTTTAAAGATAATTTATTGTTGAGTCGACAAATCTAATGCATTCCTTGTTAACAAAAGTACCTTTAATAATAATAATACCAAAATAAAATATTTAATATCTTTTTAATTGTTAGGTGGTGCCATTAAAAAAGAAAAAAATTGAAGTGGTGGTAATTTTTTTTATCTCAGAGATAAAAATTATTAGCTTATGATTAGCTGATGGAGCAGAAGAGGCATCAATGGCAAGAATAAAATTTGCTTTAGCCATGTTCCGGATTTTTCTAGAGACTTTGAAAATCTACAACAGTATCAATAAGCCTAAAATTCCATCTCTAATACATGAGTCTGATAAGATAGAACTATTTTCTAATTCATCCCTTGAGTCTAATGACCACACACTCTTTCTGTCATCCTAAAAAAAAAAAAAAAGGTTTATCCACTGTTAGACATTAAAATTATTACTGTTATGTAAATTGTAACTCTTGCATTTCTGCCTGCTGTTAAATGGCATCTATATTTCCAAATTTTATAAACTTTCGAGAACACTGACCCCTCTAACTTCCATCCTTTCTCTATTATTAGCAAGATCTTTGAGTCTTTAATTATTAAATTTTTTTTATACTTCTAGAAATAATATATAAATAATTTGAGTCTAGCATCTCTGACAATTAATTTTCCTCTTTTTCTACAGCTGACTTATTGCTATAACAGAAAGTTTCTATGGTGAAATAGATATAGACAACAGAAAGTTTCTATGGTGAAATAGATATAGACAACAGAAAGTTTCTATGGTGAAATAGATATAGACAACAGAAAGTTTCTTTGGTGAAATAGATATAGACAACAGAAAGTTTCTATGGTGAAATAGATATAGACAACAGAAAGTTTCTATGGTGAAATAGATATAGACAACAGAAAGTTTCTATGGTGAAATAGATATAAACAACAGAAAGTTTCTATGGTGAAATAGATATAGACAACAAGGCAAGAGCTATTGCTCTTGAGATATCAAAGGCTTTCAATATAATCTGACATGCTAGTCTTATCTATAAACTTGCTTCATATCGTGTATCTGGGAAAGTTTTAAAGATTATATACTATTATTTTCTAACTATAGTATTAAAGAACTCTCTTTTGTCGCAGCTTGAGGCTTGCAGTGGCTGTGAATTTCAAGTCCAACAAAACTCAGTTATTTACTGCAAATAACAATAATACTATAACAGTAATATTGTTGGTATTTCTATATTGATGAATGGCAACCCTCCCACTGAGTCCTCTACTTTACATCATGGAAACCATACATACAATCAAAGTTAAGTTCTGCTAAGGTTTATTGTGCTTGACAATTTCTTACTCACGATTCAATACCTCTAAAAAGTTTATTCGTCCCAGTACTTTTAGTTGATCCTTTATAAGATGCCCTTTCTCTTCTAGAAAATGTCAGAAAACGCAGGTCAAACTAAATTACAAATGTAGTTTGACCTGCTCTATCTGTTGAACTTAAGATACTGCCCCATCATTGTAAGGTTGTATCTCTTTCTCTTTTGTACAAATACTATTATGGTCGCTGCTTAAACAAGCTATCATTTCTAGTATGATCAAACAAAACTCAATTTCACATAACTTGTCATTCAGCAAAGTCTTATCCTTTTACTATATCAGCTCCTTCGAGTTCTAAAAACTTTTATTCTTTAGTTTTTTTCCTTGCACTTAAGTGCTTTAGGATTTGCTTGTCTTCATGTTTTACTGACTCATTCAGTTTATAGTTTTTTAAGCCTGCTGCCAACATTTTTCTTGCTTTTTACAATATTCTTTGTTTTCTGGTAACTCTCAACTTAAATAGTGGTTGCTTGCAGCTTTGTTGGGAGCAAATTAGATGAAAAAAAATATATATATTTCTAACAGTAAAAGAGCATTATTAAAGCATAAGGAGTATCATCATCAAATCATTGAATAATGAAAGTTACAAACAAATGTGTCAAGAGTGATATGTCTGGTAGTGAAACACAGGTAATAAAGGTTGATGATGTCTAAAATCCGAAGAGTATAAAGACAATGATCAAATGGTAGAGTGTTGTGCCTCTAATGAATAAGAAAAGAACCAATAATCTTATATTGTGAAATAGTGAGTGTATCAAATAAGTCAGAGATAATTAAGGTGGTTTAAACATGTAATAAAGATCTAGACAATTAAGTATCAGCGTGCAGAGAGTTGGAAACTTTAGACATGTAATAAAGATCCAGACAATTATGTATCAGCATGCAGAGAGTTGGAAACTTTAGAAAAAGAAGGCAAGAAAAGCAGAAATAAGAAAGAATGCTTTACAGATGACTTGTAAAAACTTTGTTTTTTCATGTCATCTGTAGTTGATTCAGATTTAAGATTTAAAGGATCATCAAAAATGTGTATATTAAAAAAAAGTGAAATTTTGATAAAAAAGATTAAAAGTGTAAAAGGTTATTTACCATCTTGCTCTTGGCTGTCATTTAGTTTTCGTTTTGCATTTTTTTCAACTTTTGAATTTAATTTTTCAGCTTCTTTCTTTGCCTGACCTTCTAGATAACCTTCGGGATACTTGAAAATAAACAGTTAGGTAAAGTTTAATTAAAAATAAACAGTTAATAAAGTTCAAATGTTTAACTTAAACTGTTTTACTGGTTTTAAAAGTTTTTATTAACTTCATTTTTTTTGCAAAAACATAAAAAATTGTTTATATTGCCCCAACTTTCAAAAACTCCTGAAAAACTGAAAATAATTTTACTATTGGTATAATTTTAATACCAATTAACAATCAAAGTCATACAAACTATTGCATTTTTGACAGTATAATCAAAAGAAACCTAATTGAAAAGGACAAACTGTATTACTTCAAATGACGCATACGATTTTCATTTTTAAAAATTCTTGAAAAAAACTTGTTAAGTGTAAGTAAAAGTAAGTGTTCTTAAAAATAGTAGGTGTTCTTTAGTGTAAAGTGTAAAATTAAAGTTATTGTAATTAAAAGTAAGCGTTCTTAAAAATAGTAAGTGTTCTTAAAAATTGTTAGTGTTCTTAAAAATAGTAAGTGTTCTTATAAAATAAATAAGTTAAAGCAATAAGTGAAATATACAAAAAACATTTTTAAAGTAAAATTTGTCATATACTAATTCAATCTTTTGTCTCTTGAAAATGGTTACCATAGCTTTGTGCCAGACCTCATTTCATGAGATGTATTTTATGCTATTATGGTTCTTTATGTTGAATCAAGATGAAGAGAACCATTATCAAATATAAAATTGTTGGTTACTACTACTATATAATCAAGTCAAATTACACAAGAAAGGAAATTGAAATATTTAATCAATTCAAATTGCACATACACAAGAAAGGAGTGCATTGAAATATTTAATCAATTCAAATTGCACAAACACAGAAAAAAGTTCATTGAAATGTTAATAACAATGTTGAAAACTGCAATATATTAATCAATTATAATTAATCATTTCAATATCATTATAAAACACTTTTGTAAAATTTGAACTCCAACACCAACCAATAGTTGTATTATCTTGAGATTGTAATAAAGATAACAATCTATATTGTTGTATAAAATATAAGACCATATGACAAAAAAAAAAAATATATGACACAAATTTTGAATACTTTGTTGAATGTTAAACAGTTCTTTAAAAATATTTTAAAAGATTAAAATAAAAGTTCAAGGAAATAAACTGACATGACATGTTAAAATTTTTAAAAAATATTTAAAAAGATTTTAAAAAATAAAAAAATAAACTTACATGACATATGAAAATTTTTAAAAAATATTTAAAAAGATTAAAAAATGAAAAAATAAACTGACATGACATGTTAACATCTTTGAAAGTTTTTAATCATCAATGTTTTAATTTAACTTTTGTAATAAGATAACTTTTTTAAGATAACAACTTATAAAAATTGAAACAAACAAAAAAAAAATTTATAATAATTATATATTTTTTATAATAATTTTTATTTTAATTTATTATTAATATAAATTTTTTAACAATTTTTTTATAATAAATATATATTTATATAGTAATTATATATTTATATATAACTTTAAAAAAAAATAAAAAAAAAATTCAAACCTGTATTTCAAGATTCATTTTCTTAATATATTCTTTACCTTTCTTTGTCCAAGGGGCTGGTGACTAATTTAAATAATTTTTTATGCAAAATATCTAATTCTATAAAGCATTAAAAGAAACAAAAACAACAAAGAAATCAAAGAAATTACATCATCATCTCGGCGAAGTCTGTACCTCCAAACAATAAAACCTGATTGACCTTTTTCAGGCCAGTATTTAACTACCTGCAAGATAAAAATTTAAAAATGATAAAAGAAATATTTAAAAAATTAAATAAGCAGCTTCTAAAATAATATGCTCACTTTGTATATGCCATCATATCGTATTCCTTCTTCTGGAGCAAACTTGGAATGCTTTGCAAACTTGTAACTTCGAATCTAAAAAATTTATAAAGTATTTTTAAAAGCAACCATAACCCTCTTTAATAAATTAAGAGTCAAAGACATACTACACGTATTGGCTTTCCTTCTTTCCAATTAACTGCCTCGCCACCTTTTTTGTCATTGACAGGACAATCACAATTCTTAGCCAATGCCCTAAAAAAAAAATTAATTTAATTCTAGCAAGCATATATTAAAATTTAATTAAAAATAATACTTTACCTGTTTGTTTTTGTAAGCTTTTGGTCAAATGACTGTTCAGCTGTTCTTTTATTACCAGACAAATCTCTTCCACCACTTCCAGTATAGGTAAATTCATCTCCCTCATCCTTAAAATAAAGTTTAAAAAGAAACTCTAAAAATTTAGATAACAAATTGTAAATTACACATTTTAAAAAAATTTCCAACAATCAAGCAGAGCTGAGTAGAACTTACAGTATCATCCTCATATCCTCCAGCTAAAACAATTGAGTATGCTCCTTCAGAGTCTCTTCCATGCATGCCACTTACATGAGGTCTGTGAACTCCTGCCTCACTTGCCTATAAATATAAACCTTTAAGTGACAATTTTGAACAGATTCAAAATTTATTATAACTATTATAACTTATTATAAAACGGATTAAATAATTGTTTTGAACTTCATAAAATTTAATGATCCGACCCAGGTCAAGTTACCCTGACCTGAGTTAAAGCCTGCTACTTGTAGCAACTTCTGAAACAAAGACTAAGAAAGGAAACTTGAAACATAAGAAAGGGAATGCAAAACAAAATCTCCTCTGTCTTGCAGGAAAAGTCTTTAAAACCTCACTTTTGAGAAAAAATACGAGATTTAGTAAACTGAAAATAATGGACCATAGTGTCAGACAGCACCTTTTTGAATTGATTTCTTCCAATAATAAAAAAATTCTCAAGAGAGTTGAAAAAGATATTAGAAAAAATTACGATTAGAAATAGCAGTTGCACAAGAAGTTCTTATTTCTAATTGTGGGGTAGAATGAGGCTTGAAACTGACGAAAAGGAATAAAAACTTCCATACCAGCAATTATTATTTATATTTCTAGGATCCAGGAAATTACATAAGAGTCATAAGTCACACATTTTAAACTCATATAACTGTCATATATAGAAGAAGTCTGCGGTAGTGGTGTAGTAGTGGAGCCCTCGCCTCATCAACGAGAAGTTCCGAGTTTGATCTTCACCACCACCCTGGGAGTACCGTGCTTAACTTGTTTCTCTGCCTGTTTCGGAGTTATAGATTTGAGAGAGGGTTGTAACCACAAAAAGTAGCCTTTTCGACTGTAGTGGCCTTCTCGGCCTTGGGGAGATAAATAAATAAATAAAAAAATTAAAAAAAAAAAAGCCTGATATAAAACAGTAACCAAGAAAAGTTCAAAAATAATAGATTATAGGTCTCCTGAAGGCCTTAATTTTTTCTTCTTTATTAGTTTAGATTCCTAAACATTTTGAAAGCTCTAAAATCTTTCTCTCTTTTTTCAATATTCTTTTTTGGGACCTCTAATACCTAATTATGGCTACAGAAAAATGCAATATGGTTTTCACCAATATTCACTATTCACTTATAACTAAATCATGAGTTTCATCTCAAAAGATTAGACTTAAAATATCTTAAGATTAGACTTAAAATATCTAACAGTATAATTAAATAAAGAAAACATCCATTCCATCAAGGGACTTGACTTAAATTATATTGTTTCACTAAGAATAAAAAAGTTTTCTGTGAAGGATTTTACTCAAATTTTTATGACCAAACATAGAACAAGATAAGTTTTAGTCTTTGTAAGATTGAAACTGACTTGACCCCACTCCTCTTTGCATAACTTATGTTATTATTTATTTATACTCATGATCCCAACAATATTCATGTCATAATCTTTTTGAAGTGTTCACCTAAGTAACCAAAACTTTTTAAAAAATGCTTACCTAAATGTTAGTGCCTAAATACTGGAAAGTGAAATGTCGCAATCTTATGTTTAAAAACTCTGAAGATAGCAGTAATAAAGTGATTGTCAAAATTTTTTTTTAAAAGCTTAGTTTTTAACTGATAACTTTATCATAAATGGTATCATGGCAACACAAACATGATTGCAAAAACTGTTAGGCTGTAAGCAGCTTAGTACACAGATAAAATTTCACATAAAAAAATAACTTTAATAATCATTCTTTGTAACATTGCAGATGCATTGCAATGTTACAAAGTAATATTACAGTCATAATATGTAACATTGCTGTAACAATATGGCTCATAGCTACAAAGTAACAATATGACTCTTTGATCACTGTAGTGTAGTACATAGTGCCATCATAAAAGTTATTTACAATTTTATAGTTTTGTATAAATTTACAACAATGTCTACAAAGGATTAATGAACTAAGACCAAAGAGCTGGCAATATTTTTATGACATAATGATTATAACTCATGGCATAATTAAGTAGCACTATAATGTACTTAAGAATTTTTATCTTATATCATATCATATAAACTTTTTTCTTACAACTTGTGAAAGATTTTTGAAAGTATACAAACTATTAATTTAAGAGTGATAACTTTAAATTTTATGATCTTTAGAATAAAATTAATTGTATTAAATGTAAGTAAAATTGTTTTGAACGAGAATGGAGAAACTCATGGAGGAGCACACAGAAAGAGTGCTTATCAAGGAAAAAAAAAATAATATGTAAAAGTTGCATTAAAAGACAGTTATAAAACTTCCAATACAATACAAGGACAAAAATAAACTTGTACTTAAAGTCTATTTAATGTTTGATTGAATTAATTAAAAGGACACTGACAAAATATGAATGAAATTTACTATTATTCTAATGTTCTATCATTTTCAGACTTTATCAACTCTGAAAATTTTTTTATAAATATAAGTTTTATTTATATAGCATTTTTGTATATATAAACATTTTATGCATAGTAAACACGTTATAACATAAACCTTTAAAATTAACAGCTATAAACAAAAGAAAAAAAAAGCAATTTTTTAAACAAGTAAAAAAAAAAAGAATTTTTCAAAAATAATTTTCTAATCTAAAGATAACTTTCTATTATTAAAAATGCATTACCTGTACACGAAACTTCCAGCAAGACCCAACAGGTACACCAGGGATTGGCCCAAAATGATTAGAAGGGACAATTGTACATATTTTAGTCCTTCCAACACATGCCATACCTTTTCCCCAATCACGATTTGTTTTGGAATTAGCAGAAGCCATCTTTGCTTTCTTTGAACTTTCTTTGAGTTTTTGACCAGCCTTTATTACATTGGAACCATCATTTTTACATTCAGGACAGTACCATTCATCTTCTTCAGGTAAAGTTATGAGAGGAGGGTCAAGACACTTCATATGATATGCCATATCACATTCATCACACATTAGTGTTTTTTCTGGTTCATCTTTACCAGAGCACTATTTAAAAAAAAAGATTAAATTGATTTTTTCTCAAAATTTTTAAAAAACAGACTTTTAAATTTACTTTAAATAATATATATAAAAAAGAACAAAATGAGTTCTATTTTTAATTATATCATATTTTCATGTTAAATTTTAGTTTAAAAACATAGTAGTTGCAAATGAAACTATCATACTAAAAAAAAGTAAAAAAAAAAGTAAAAAAAAGTAAAAAATAAAAATAGAATAGAAAAAAAGAGAGAGAATATATATGTTATAATAGTAATACATAATAATAATAATAATAATAATAATAATAATAATAATAATAATAATAATAATAATAATAATAATAACAATAATAACAATAACAACAATAATGATAATACACAGCTAAAAAACTCTATAAATGTCATTTTAAAACTTTATTTGAAATTATCTTTTCAAAAAAAACTTTTAATTCACAAGTTGTAAGCAACTTTTAATGAATTTCTTTTTTTAACTATTCAAAGCAAAATTGTTTTGAAAACCACTTCAAAGTTCAATAAAATGCTCTGCATTTTATACTTAGATCTTTGTTGTATTTTTTGATTTAAAAATTTTTGAGCTGGAGAAAATCAATCAAAACTTCCAACCTTTTGGAGGACAAGTCAAAGCTTCATAACATGTTTAATATATATGTGCTGTGCTATAATGGATGGATTTCAATAAAGTAAATTATAAATGATCATAAAATCTCTAATGCACTTCTTTTACATCCCTAATAATAATAATGAATAATAATTGGATTTTAAGATAAAATTTAATCATTTTTTAACAAAATCTTAATTTTATTTTCAAGTTTTTTTATTTTTATTTACAAACTTTTGTACATACATAAGGGTTAGGCCAACCCTAATCACAATCATTGTTCGATGTTCAATCTAAATTCATGCAGCAAAATACCATGATAGATATTATTACCATGCCACAAAATATCAAACAGAAAGCAAATATCCAAATTCATGCAGCAAAATATTAAGATAAAAACTATTATTTTCATCATCATTATTATCATTATTATTACTACTATTATTATTGTTATATTACATTTTAGTTCCAAAAATTTAACTAAAGTTTATAAAAAAATAAATGAATAATAATTGAGCACCAAGTAAAATGAAACCTGTTATTGATCCCATCAGTCACATACCCACAATAAACTACTAAATTAAAATAAATATACTACCTTATGGCAACCACACTCTTTGCATTTTATATTTGGATTATCTTTACAGGTATCACAATCTGGCTTGTTTTTCCCTGTAAATAAATGACATTTTTAATTTGAAAGTAAGACAACACTAAATGTGAACCAAAAAATCTCAGTTGAATTCTTTACTAAACAACACAAATATAATGCTTTGCTACCCACATTGTTGAATATAAAAAAATTCTATACAATGCTTGTATAAAACTTGTTTATATTCATAGCATGTTAAATTAACTTTTTTAATCAGCATTCAAATAATCATTAACAAAAAATAAACATTTATTTTAATACAAAATTAATAAACAAAACATTGAAAAAAATATAGCTTAATAAAAATGCACATTAACTTTTCGCTAATTAACTATTTTTATAATTCAATTTAAAAAAATCAATTTTATCATTTGAAAAGTGCAGCTATATAGATTTATTAAGGTAAAATATAGAAAACAAAAAATATAGAAACATAAAATTATAGAAATATAAAATATAAAATACAAAAATTGAAGCAAATCATTGAGTTTAACTTTTAATTTTGATAAAGCACACCCACACCCACACACACACACACACACACACACACACACACACACACACACACAAACACACACACCCACACACCAATACATCAAGTATTTCAATGTTAATTTTAATTTTGATAAAGCACAAAGAATAAGAGCCCTGTTTGGGGGTTCCTATTCTTGAAATATTTAAAAATTTTAGTTTATTTGTTGAGTTTTTCAAAACAAAAATTAATTGTTATTTGCAAAGCTGTAAACACAAATTTAAGAAATAAAATAAAATTAACTATTAGCATACTTTCATTAATTTACTTATAAACAAAATGTTTCAAATGCTGAGAAAAGTAAGAAATAAGCTTATATTTTGACAAATATATTAAATATATATTCATTAACACATGAATTGTACAATATTTAGTTTTATAGTATTTTAGAATGCTAATTCACTTACTATTTAATTTATAATATACTATAAATAGAAAAAAATCTATGCAATAAATACAGACTTACGAAGTTCAGGAGTATTTTTATCATTACACTCCAATGGACTATCTAAAATAGAGATAAAAATATTTTTTTCTTTTTTTTTTTCTGAAAAAATAAAAAATAAAACACTTTGTTAAAAAAAAATTTATTTCACATTCCATATCAAAAAGAAATTTTTTTTTAATTATTTAACTCATTTATCTATTGATGACTAATTATAAAATAAACTATAACAAAAAATTAAAATTATAACAAAAAATTAAAATTATAACAAAAAATTAAAATTATAACAAAAAATTAAAATTAGAAAACAAAAAATTAAAATTATAACAAAAAAATTAAAACTATAACAAATAATTAAAACTATAACAAATAATTAAAATTATAACAAATAATTAAAATTATAACAAATAATTAAAATTATAACAAATAATTAAAATTATAACAAATAATTAAAATTATAACAAATAATTAAAATTATAACAAATAATTAAAATTATAACAAATAATTATAACATAAAGAGAAAACATGTATTTCTAGATAAATTAAAGAAATGGCTTTAAAAATTAAGAATATTATCAGTTAAAATATTAATAATTTTCATGCTGCAAAAAACTAAACATACAGCTGTGAAGTATGACGCACAAACAGTCATAAAAGTTTAACAAAAGTTCAAAAAACTGGTGTACACTTTTAAAAAAAACTGGTGTACACAGTTAAAATATTAATAATTTTCATGCTGCAAAAGACTAAACATACAGCTGTGAAGCATGACACACAAACAGTCATAAAAGTTTAACAAAAGTTCAAAAAACTGGTGTACACTTTTAAACTAAGATTGAAAAACAATACACAAAAAAAAGAGAAGAAGAAAAAACTTCAAAATAGGAAAAAAATTGTCAATGTATTGTACTATTGATAATTTTTTTTTTTTAATATTAAAAATCAAAAGCTCTATAATAATAAAAATTAGTAGTAATAAGAATTTTACAAATAAAATCATATTACATATTAGACAATTTAATGCTAATTTGTGCAAGTTTGCATAGAACTCACGGCAGCTATTAAACCTGATTTCTTAGAGATCTTAAAAAAAGAGCTTCTGTTATGAAAAGAAAAAAACATCAAAGCTTGTGGAAGGACAAAAATTTAACAGTCTTTTATCTACTTCTCCGAGTGTATTAGTCAACTTGCAGTTAACAATAACTGCCTCAACATAATAGTTTTAAAGAAAAAACGAACCTTTATTAAATTAATAACTGTTTGCTACTTAATATTAATTCTAATCTAGATATTAATGAGCTCATAAAAGTTAATTATAAAGCGATTTTTATATAAAAGGTTTAATAATAAAGTATAATACACTTTTTACAGAAGCTGTAACATATTAAAAAACACTTCTTGAAGATAAGTTATTATTCAGACTGTTTTACAGCTCAAGATAAGAAATATTTATGCAAAAACATTTTTTTATAAACTATTAGTCTTATTCAACAAAAACCCATTTTAGGGGCAATTATATAAAGGGTGTTAAGTGATAATGCATTTTAGGGGAAATTATATGATGGGTGTTAAGTGATAATGCATTTAATTATTTAATAATTTTAATTATTAAATAATTAAATGCATTATCAATTAACACCTCTAAAATTTTTTGGAACTTTTAAGTTCCAAAAAATTTTAGAGGTAAATTTAAAGCTTAAGATTAAGTATTAAGATTATTTAAAGATTTTAAAGAAAATTTTGACTTAATCATTGACAGTGACAAAAATATATTTCCAGGTTACATGATTCTTTTTAAAAAAATATTACCTGAACTCTCTATTTTAAAAATTTCATCTGTGAATATACATTTGCACTCTTCTAATGTTGTTTTATCTGAACTAAACAGTTAAAGTATAAAATTAATTTTATCTTCCTCTTCTTCTTCCTTCTCCTCCTCATCATAATCACTTTCATTAAAGAACTTGTTGGGTCACAAAAACATTACCTTAACTGAACTGTTCCAATAAATTCCTTTGAATTTCTCTTGTTAATCTGTAGATGAATAAATAATATATAATTTAACCTAGTTAAACAATATTACTTTTTAATTACAGAATTATATATATCCATAAAAAAGTGTTGAAAAAATGTTTTTGTTTGTTTAAAACATGATTGGTAAAACAGCATCAGGGGCGTTGTGGCTCTAAAAAGCACATACAGTATTTTATTTAAAAGTCCTATATATGGAGGATTTTACCATATATGCTGGATGTAAAAGCCCATATATGTATATATATATATATATATATATATATATATATATATATATATATATATATATATATATATATATATATATATATATATATATATATATATATATATATTAAATGACGACATCTTGTATGAGAGTTGAATAAATTTAATATATGAACATCAATAAATACGAATTCTCTCAATACTAATTTTTTTATTTAATTCAAGAAATTTTTGCTAGATTATTGATACTAGCTGTTAATTAAAGCTCAAGATGCTAGTATCAAAAATCTAGCAAAAATTTCTTAGATTAAATAAAAAAACTAGTATTGAGAGAATTCGTATTCATTGATGTTTATATATTTTATATATATACATATATTTTATATATATATATATATATATATATACATATATTTTATTTATATATACATATATTTTATATATATATATATATATACATATATTTTATATATATATATATATATATATATATATATATATATATATATATATATATATATATATATATATATATATATACAAGGGCTATTCTAGACCGTTTTCTACAGCGTCAACCGTATTTGGGTGCCACCCAAATTAAAAATTGAGGACCTTTTTTTTTTTTATGTTTTTTACGACAAATATTGTTTTTTCCACAAAAAAACGCTGATATTCGGTAATATTTCCGATTAATTTCTCCCGGACGGAAAGGTACCACTGCCCATATTTTTTTCCTAGAATAGCCCCTGATATATATATATATATATATATATATATATATATATATATATATATATATATATATATATATATATATATATATTACTTTTTTATACTATTTTTATATATTTTTTTTAACTTTCATTTTATTTCTATTTTTATTTATACATTTTTAAATTTATTATTTTATTATAAAAATATATTTTTTATATTAATTTTTGTTATTTTTATTTATTTATTTTATATTATATTTCATTTTTAACTTTATCTATTTTTTTTATTATCTATTTTTAACTTATCTATTTTTAACTTTATCTTACCTATTTTACAAAAACAATTAATTACAATAATATAACCAAATTTAGACCTTGCCGTAACCCTAACCCTGAGCCTGACCTTGATGCCTGGCCTAACCAAACCCTCAGTCAATGTAGCACCACCCCCTTGCGAGTTAGGCTATTTGATAGTCAATGTATGTTCTTTTCGTTCTCTATAAAAGTTTCTTATGGGTACATTTTTTACAAAAAAAAATAATGCTTACAGGGACTAAAAATTAACGGGTACATTAAAATGTCCCTGATAATGCTAATGTCACCGTAAGTGTTCATTTTTTGTAAAATCTGTCCCTGTAAGTGATCAAATATACAAATATATATATATATATATATATATATATATATATATATATATATATATATATATATATATATATATTATATATATATATATATATATATATATATATATATATATCAGCAGAAATGGCAATTTGAAACTTAAATTTAATCTTCTTTTAAAAATATTAAACTTATTCATTCTATTTTTAATTACAAAGTTTTAATTACAAAAGTCTTTTCTTATAATTACTTGCTTTCTTGCTTAGAGCTATTTTAGTGCAATTTTTAAACTTTCCAAATTAAAAAAAAAAAAATTTTAAATGAAGAAAAGCAATGAAGGAACTTTTTAAATATGAAAATAAGCAGAAACATAAAATTAAATAATAAAAAAGCAATCTAAATATATATTAAAACATGGTCAAATGCAATATTATTTTTAACAATTTTTCTATAAAATTTTAGGATGTTAGAATAAAGATATCGAAAAAACAATTAAAGGTTTTTTAGATAAGATAGCATTTATATAAAAAAACATCATTTACTCTTTATTGTACTGCTGTTACTTGCTTGACATGTTGCTTAGTGAAACTGTCAAACTTTGTGTTTTGGAGTTAATTAGTCAAAAAAAAAAAAAATGTTAAAATGTTGAAGAGAAAAGTTTCAAGATGAAAGCATAATAAAACTTTTATTTATATTTCAACTAATTACAAAACCTTAATAGTCCCACACTTAGCAAATATAACTTTTGATCAGATGGTTACATAAAAATATTTCATCTATTTATAAACAACTTTAATAAAAGTAGTATCAAATAAAATAAACCTTTTTTGTAACTGTCACATCATACCAAAATCCTCTCTCCTTTGGGGAGTCAAAATTATAATTTGCCATTACAATCATACCTGGTTGTAGCTAAATATGAATATTATTAATTTTATTATTTATTTTTAAAACATAAATGTGCGTGCAAAATTAGATATTAAATAAGATAACTATATGTGTATGCATATTATATATATATATATATATATATATATATATATATATATATATATATATATATATATATATATATATATATATATATATATATATATATATATATATATATATATATATATATATATATATATATATATATATATATATATATATATATATATATATGTATGTATAAATGTGTATGTTAAATAAGAAATTAGTAAATAAAACAAATAAAAAAAATTTTCTTTTATTGCATTCATTGCCAAATCAGTATTTTGACAATAGATTTTTTATATTCTTTTAAATTATGGAAAAATAACTTGGGGTATTGTAAAATGGCCACGATTTATTTGAATAAATTAGGTTAGAAAAAAATTCTAAAGTTATGTTTTAATAATCAAATAAACTTCAAAAAAATTCTTAATTAAGAAAAAACAGATCCCAAGAGACTCCCAATAAAGACTGAAAATCTTGAAGTCCTTAAGTAAATTTTTTATATCTAATAATAAAATGTTATGGAACTGTTACCCAGTAAAAGTGACCCAGTAAAGGTGACTCAGTAAAAATGACTCAATAAAAGTAACCCACTAAAAGTGACTTGCTTAAAGTGATCCAGTAAAAGCTGAAAATCTTAAAAGCTTAAAATTTTTTATATCTAGTATTAAAATGTTTTATAATTCAATAAAGATGCTTTATTCAGAAAGTAAAATACATAGTTAATTTGTTTTTTTTGATTTTTATTTAACGTTAATTATTCAAAAAGTATAACCTAATATAATATCACAACATTAACTACATGATAAATAATAAAAAAAAAATTAAAAAAAAAATTTAAATGTGTTTTCACAACTGAACTTTGTCAAATATAAGTACACTGAATAAAAGTTATACAAGCTTGTGGTGAAAAAAGTAACATATTTTAACAAAAATTGTTGCTTATACAAACAAATTAAATCAATGATACAAATTAATTATGATACAACTTTTTACGAATCAGATAAATATTACAATACAAAGTTATAACAAACCTCTTCAAAAGGAACTTTTGTCCTTGCTCTAGGACGTATGTTTATTTCAGAAAGAGGCACTAATTCGTTTTCGTCATAACTATAAAACAAATTAAAAATAATAAAAAATCATTTAACATCTGATTTATAATTTTTTTCAATACTTAAATGGACAACCTGATTCACCATTTGTCAATACTTAAATGAGCAATCTGATTCATCATTTGTCAATACTTAAAGGACAATCTGTTCCATAACTTGTCAATACATAAAATGGACAATTTGACTCATTGTATGTCAATACTTAGATAGACAATCTAATTTATCTTTTGCCAATGCTTAAATGACAGGCTTGGTCGGGAAGCGGGTGCGATTGCACTCAATAACTGACCATGGAAATAATATTTATTTGCGAAAAACCGGCCAGATTTTTTAGTCGTTTTGAGAACATTTAAGTTTTTGTATGTTTCCTTGTTTGTCCGCAAAATAAGTTCATTTTATCGTAAATTTTAAAATATTTTGTTTTACGGACTTACAAGGAAACATACATAAACTTGATTGTTCTCAAACATCTTAGCACGGAAAAATAAAAAAAGAATATTCGAGAACACAAAAAACCCGCCAAATCTATGAAAAACTATTTCTATTGGTACAAAAAATACTAACCGAAATTTCTAGAGTATTCAAAAAATACTAACCGAAATTTCTAGAGTATTCAAAAAATACTAACCGAATGTCCTGATTATTCTGTTGAAATATTTTTAAAAATTGTATTATTTGAGTTTTGTTACGTTTTTGTTGAGATTTCTAGCATAAATTATTTTAAGAATATACTATCAAACGAACTATTATTTTAATTCTTGGAGCCACATATACAAAGCTATAAATGTTTTAAACTAACATTATTTGTTTACAATAACAAATGTTTAAATATTATATTTTTTAACTTGTCAACGTTTTGTAAATATATTATAGATTTTATTAGTATATTCTAATTTTTTATATATAAGGGATGTATTTTTTATGCATGTAAAGTATTTTTATGCATGTAATTTTATGTATGTGTATTTTATTCAAATGTAATCTTTTAAAGAAATTAGTGCGATTGATTTTGGAAACAAAAATACTTTCAATAATAACTGCGTTTTTAATGAAATTATTAATAATCATCAAAGTTAATACAAATAATTTTAACCACTAATCCATTTTCCTCAGTGTACCCGATAACTGATTCTTTCTCCCAAGAAAGAAAAGTTTTTAAGTTCTTAGAAATTGGTTTACTAACTTCAACTATTTTCGCTTCAGCCATTCTTACAAACTCATTATACTTAGAGTTACTTTTTTCTGTTTTAAATACTAATTAAAATTATAAAGCCCACTTACTAAAACATCATCAGCAGTATTGTGAAGCAGTTCCGCTTCCTCCTCACAAAGTAATGTAATGTTTTTTTAAATTTCTATCTAGCTAATTGAATTTCTACAGTAACTCAATGATTTAATTATTTTATTTGTTCATCTTACTAAGAAGAATTATTTCAAATATGTTAAATTTTTTAAACTACGCGAAGCATAATATAATTATTAAAAAAACTTTTTTATAAATAAATCATCTCATTGAATCTTGTTGGACTTTTCAGGGCTGGAGGCTGCATTATTTTGGTGGCCTTTTTTATGGGCCACAACGTAAAAATGACTAAAAAAAATACCAAATGATCCTCTTGACTATTTCCCTTAACATTGTGAGTCCCGGGGCTATAGCCCTACTACCCCCACCCCACCTTCTAAATCCAGCACTGGAAATAAGACATAAGTATATAAAAAAAAATTATATATACTCTTTGATAAATCGAAGAACATTTGTTTCTTTATAGTTGTTACTAAAAAATATTAAAAATGTCGCTTAATTTTACAAAATAAATTATAAAAGAGCGACGTTTCAAAAATAATTGCTCTAATACATTTATTTTGCTCAAAGTTTTTTCGCATTAGAAGCTATTTTTCTTTTTTTAACTGTCTCTCATTGGTCGAGTTAATCTTTTTGCACTTTTTTGTTCGTTTTTGAAATGTTCTTAAAACGACTAAAAAATCTGGCCGGTTTTTCGCAACTAAATAATATTTTCATAGTCAATTATCAAGTGCGATCGCACCCGCTTCCCAACCAAGCCTGAAATGACTATTTGAAAATTTAATAAAAATATGTTTGATACTAAATAAAATACATTTTCATTCAGACTAATTCAGTTTTTTGTAAAAGTATTTGATTAAAAAAAAAGTTTAGTTGTAATTAAAAAAAAAAAACTTTTTTTTTGGCAAGCTAAATGGAGAAGACTGATAACAGGTATGTTTTCTGGACCACAAACTGTAGAAGAGTCTAAGCAGGAAATCACTTTAGATGCAGAAACTGGAGTGATACGAATGTCAAGTTATGGATCAACCTGTTTGTCAGCTATATCAGGTAGAAGGCAACTAGTGGAATCAAGAGATGATATTTATGAAAAATCTTTAACACCCCTGGTTTTTCCGGATATTCAAAACATTTTCCATATATACAAGTTTGGATATATATTTTTGTATAATATTTTTATTTTTTAAGCTTTTTAACCTATCACTCATAAAAAAATTAGGAAAAAATGCCTACTTTTACACCGATGCCTACTTTTGACCAATGCCGATGTCGATGCTGATGGGCACAGGCCGATGCTGAAGCATCGGCGTCGGCCCTGAAATTGGATATATATGGAAATATACACCTGAATGGAAATGCCACATTCCATTCATGTGACGATAAAAGCAACATTTTGAAATTGTTATTGTTGAAGTTTATTTTCCATTTATTTTTTTATTGCTATCTTGACAATTAGAGCAATTACTTTAATTGAAAAACTCGTTTTATAAATATTTACTTTCGTCATTTTGTTCGAATTAGAACTATTTTGTTTTTTATAAAGAATGAATGGAAGATTTTGATGCCATTACTTCTAATAATTGATAGGTTTTTAGCGAATGTTTTTACAAAGTTAAAATATAAAACAATACTTGAATTTAATGTTTCTATATTCAATGCTTTTAATTTAATAATAAACTTTTTTATCATTTAATTTTAAAATAAATGTAATGAAACATTTTGATTGTTAAGAATAACTGAAAAAGTTTAAAAAAAACTTTATTTAAAGCAATTTTCTCTTCCAATTCCCATTTATTCAAAGTATTGTTTCAATTTAACTTTTATTTCTCTCATCTAAAAAAGAAAAAAACAACGCAAAAAAAAAAAAAAAATTCAAGTTTAACTATGTGAAACTTTTCTTTCTCTTTTGTTCTACTCTTTTATAAAAATAGCGCGCGATGAAATAAAAACTTTTCTTTCTTAAGGTAGAATTAAATTAGAAATAAAGAAACAATAAGTAAAGCGACGAAAAGTCCAATCTGGGACTATTTTGATATTGATGAAAATAATCGCTCAAAGCAATTTGTAAATTATGCAAAATGAAAATATCAAGAGGAGGAACATCTGGCAAAAAAATAACAACATCTAATTTAAGAGGTCATATGAAAGCAAAACATATAAAAGTTTTCCAGAAAGTAGAAGATCTAAAATGTTTCAAAAAAATTAACACAGAAAAAAAAAGCTATGTTATTGCATCTACTTCATCCCCTAAAGATAATGATATTAGCAAAATATCCGTTAGCAATAGTGTTACAGTTATTCTAGATCAAAAACATCAATCTAAGCTTGAGGAAACTATTAATAACCATAGGATTGGACTTCAAGTGAGCAAAGAGCTCAAAAAATAACTATGCTTATTGGAGAAATGATATGTGTAGACATTCAGCTGTATTCTTTAGTTACAGATCAAGGATTTAAAAAACTAATTATGCATCAGATGACACATCACAATGATCTACTGACGGATGGACTACACATCAAAATGATCTAAGGTTTTATTCATTAACAGCACACTGGATAAACTCAGAGTTTAATTCTATGACAGCTGTGCTACAACTTAAAAAAATAACAGGCTCTCATACAGGTGTAAAGATATCAAAATTTCTAAAAGACTCTTTAAATGAATGGAAAATACCAACTAACAAAGTGTACTTTGTCTTCTCTGACAATGCTGCTAATATGAAATTAGCCATAAAAGAAGCTGGTTTAGAAAAAAATTCACTAAGTTGTGTAATCCACACTCTTCAGCTTTGTATAACCGATAAGCTTTTCAAACAGCAAACAATTGTAAATGATCTTATAGCTAAGTCTAAAAAAATTGTCACACACTTTCATCATTCTTCGTCTTCCATGGATATGCTACATGAAATTCAACAACAGCTAAAGTTACCCCAACATTCACTTATATAAGATGTAGTAACAAGATGGAACTCAACATTTTACATGCTAGAAAGACCAGTTGAACAAAAAACCTCACTAACATTATCTTTTATTAGAAATCAAAAGTGTAATGCCTCTAATATTAATGAAGACCAATGGTTATTAGCTGAGACGCTTATCTTAGTTTTAAAACATTTTGAGGCGGCTACACTTGAGATGAGTGAAAATAGGGCATCAGTGTCTCAAATTATTCCATTTATAGTTTCAATGGAAGCGTATCTAGCCTATGCTTCAGAAAATGCAGATGAAATAAAAACTATAATAGAAGAGTTGAAAAAAGATTTTACCTCAAAGTTTTCCAGCTATAAATATAACAAAAAACTTGAACACGTCTAAAGTTTTAGATCCAAGATTCAAACTTAGTTATGCCATATCAGATGAGGAGAAAGACACAATAAAATCAAATATTCAAGAGAAATACATGAACCTAAATAAAACTGATATTACAGACTTTTTTTTACTGACAACTTAACTCAATTAGATAATGAAACAAGCACTTCATCTGAATCAACCCAAGAACCTAACTCTCCACTCAAAAAATTAAAAATGGCAGTAAACATATACAATCTTTATCAAGTTTCAAAAGCACCTCTTGACACTGAATTAACAAAATCAACAAAAGTAAAGAACTGTAAAAAACTTTCAACAGAGGCACAAATTTATTTAGAGAAAAAGGAAAAAAAATGAAGGTTAAAATGATTTTTTTTAATAAGAACTTTGATAAATTTTTATTCTTGTCTAATTTATAATAAATTATTATAGATAAAACTAAATTCTAAATTATTATAAACTATTATATAAATTTTAGTTATAGAAATAAAATAATATTACTAATATTCATTAATATTTAACAACTTTTAATAATAAAAATTAGTACTTTACATTATAGTTTAGTTTTTATATTTTTTATTTGTTTACTTTTCTTTTAGAACTGATGAAATAAACTTTTACTTATCACTGCCTAATCTGCATCAAAAAGAATGTCCATATAAATGGTGGGGATATTACAAAAATACATGTATAAAGAAACGCTCTAGTAGCAATATTCTAGACCTCTCATACCTTGCCAAAAAATAATTAGGAGCTCTGCCTTCTGTGTTCAGCGAAAGAATGTTTAGTGTTGGGGGAAATATTTATGAATCGACATGGTTCCGACTAACTGCAGAACATGGAGAAAATCTAGCTTTTGTGCATGCGAATTGGAAATCTTTTGGAGAAAAGGAAACAAAAAAATAGATTCACAGTTTTATATAACATATTTTATTACTTTTCATAATATAATAAAAATTTATTTTTATTTTTAACATGACGCAAGTTGGTCTATTATGTTTTAAATATGTTATACTTTATGTTTATATTTTTTAAATGTGCATTTCTTGATATTAAACTTCTTTGTAGAGTTTTGGATCCATAAGTTATATAATTAATATACTAAATTTTATGAAAACTCTAAAAAAGTAGAGAACCCTGTTAAAAGCACTCAACAATTTTTAGTTTAGTGGTTGCATATATGCCTATATAATAACTTATTATTAATAAGTTAGACTTATACATTGTATTTATGTTTATGGCGTAATTCTATGTTTGGATATAATATAGAAACACAGAATCAAAAATAAAATTTCAAAAATTTCAAAACAATTGGCATCGGCCAATGGTTATCAAGGCTGATGCCAATGCATCAGTGCACCCCTAATATATGTAACCCTCGGAATTAGGAGAAACAAGGTTAGCAATAATTTGCTGACCTAAATCTTTTAGAGGTCGGCAGCAGGTTGGCAAAAAAAAACTTGAACAAAGGTCTTTTCATAAAAGATAGAAACAAGGATGGTATTTTTTTGCCGACCTCAAATGCTTTTAGGTCAGTATTTAGGTTGGCATTGCCAAATGCCAACCCTAATTCCGAGGAATATATATATATATATATATATATATATATATATATATATATATATATATATATATATATATATATATATATATATCAAATATTAAATGTAATTAAATATAATAAATGTAAATAAACAAAGTTTATTGTGTCAAAATATAACAATAAAACCAATTAAGATAAAATTGAAGAAGATGAAAATATCTAAGTAGTTTTTATAGAGGACTGCTCAAACCGTGTTAACCTTAAATAATACTAAAAGAAAAAGAATTTTAGTAAATTTCAGCATTAATTGTCCTATTTAAATCTGAAATTAAAATATGAATTATATATTATTATTGCCATTAAAGTTAAATTTAGTAGCTAACTTATATAATGAACTTTTAAATATTTCACAATAAAACTAAAAACAGACCCCTGCGTTTTTTTCTCAAAAAAAAAAACAATTAAAAAAACGCTTCACACATCTCTCTCTCTCTCTCTCTCTCTCTCTCTCTCTCTCTCTCTCTCTCTCTCTCTCTCTCTCTCTCTCTCTCTCTCTCTCTCTATATATATATATATATATATATATATATATATATATATATATATATATATATATATATATATATATATATATATATATATATATATATACATATATATATATATATATATATATATATATATATATATATATATATATATAATGTTATTTACCTCCCCAAGGCTGGGCCTTGAGAGAGGGCCACTACAGTCAAGTAGGTTTTTTTTTGTGGTTATAACCTGCTCTCAACTCTTTACTCTGAAACATAAATCTTTGGGAACAAGGACACTGCACAAAGAAACAAGTTTAGCGCAGTACTACCAGGGATGTGGTGGGGATCGAACTTGGTACTTTTCATATTTTACTTTTATTTTCTCCTATATTACTTTTAGGGTAGTAATAGAATAAGATAAAAGTTGAAAATATTAAAGAATTAGAGAAGAATTAAAAAATTAGATAAAATATATAAAGACTATTAAAAAAATAAAAGATGAAAGAATTTCAATTGACGATTATTGATTAACTCTTCTAATGATGCCCTTTCTCTTTTAGACAAGGTGCAAATAAACTGAATTATCATGAAAAACCTTATTTCAAATTATCAAAAAAAAAAAAAATTTTATCCATATTAAGATGTTTCTGTCGATAAAATAGTCATTAAACTTATGAGGGAAAAATAAACAATATAACCCCAGCAAACCTAGCAGATAATATTAAAAGAACCAAATTTGCTGGTTTTTGTGACTGCTACTGGTTACGCATATAAAAGCGTTAAATTCTTTTTAAGGAATATATCATATAACCAGATACAAAAAGAATGGTGAATAATTGAGCATTTAAAACTTTTTGAGAAAATTCCCCACATTGATAATGATAAATATTAACTAAACACATTCTTTGATCTTTTATCTAATAAAATCATTTGATTACACCAAATAAAGTTTTTCATTACACTAAATAAAATCATTTCACTATACTAGAACCTTATGAACCAATAAAATCTTTTCCAGTGATATCAACATAGCAAGTTTAAAATTCTTTTCGTTCAATGGCAAGACAAAAAAATAGTCTCTAATAAATAAATTCTAACAAATTCTTATCACGTGGATGTCAGGGGAAATTTACATAGAAAGTGTCTAGTCATCCTGGCTAATCAAAATGGTAATCAAAATTTTCTATATTCTTTATACGCATAGTAATAAACCTCAAATGTATCTTATAGCTTTTGTTTTAATTCCAGATAACTTTTTGTTGGCAGTGTCATATTTGTAAAACAAATTTAACTAATTCCTTAATTTTTTTCAAAAACTTTTTTAAATTTATTTTTTATAAAGCTGGCTTTATTAACTTGGCTGTTCTTAAAAGTAGAGTATAACTATTTTTTTAATTGCTAATAATAGACTTTACTGTCTAATTAAAATGTCTTCTGAATAGATAGAAAAAAGGTAGCTTTTTGAAAGGTCTTTTATAAGAATATTTTAGTTATCAACAACAAAAAATTTTTTAACAATTGATAATAAATTTGATTGCTTAACTTATTAAAAGTAAAAAAAATCCTGTTTAAGTAAAAATTTGAAATTTCAAGGACCATTTTTTTCTTCCAAACATTAGTAAAAAACAAAACTAAACCAAAATAAAAAACTATTTGATAAAGAATAAAATTTGCACATTTTAATGTAAGAATTTACCCATCGAAAGTAACATGATATAATACTTCATTGTTTTCATCAAATGATATTTTTTCTATTTTTCCTTCAAACCAAGCACCCATAGTAACATCTTTACCATCGATTAGTTCTGAAACCTAAAAAATTAATTAGGTTTGTTAAATATCATTAAACAGGTCATTAAACCTTTTTTTTTTACCAGAGATATAGAGCACAACGCACTGCAGAGATATACAGCTTTACTTTTCTAAACTTGATAGACATTTAATAATGTAAATAAATAATTCTTAAACTGAATTTCTTTAATAAATTACTTCAAAATACTCTATTTTGAAAAAGTTTTCTAACAAATTCAAAACAAAATAAATTTATGGAAATCTCTATGAATTTCTTATTAAAAATAATTTATGAAAACCCCAATGTACCACCCTTTATGAAAATTCCTTTATTTTTTTCCATAGTTAGGAAAAACCTGATCTTGACAAACAATTTTTTATTTACACACTTTTCTGATCTCACCCCATTTCTAGTTTACATAATTTAATTTTTATTTGTTTTTGTCTATATTTTTACATATAATTAATGCTTAAAAACAATGATTTTTCATAAAAGGTATAATAAATTTTTGCATTTTATATTTTCAATAACTTAAAAATGATTATGGTTTTAATTGAAACATGTTAATTAATATTGTTATTTTTATAAAAACTACAAATTAAGTCAACATACCTTCCATCTTAAATTTGAAGTGTTAAAAGTAGACTTCTAAAAAATATATCATTGTATACAATATCTTTTTAAAAAATTCATTAATCAAATTGCTGTAAAAGCTGAATTGATTCTATATTAATTTAATGAGCAAGAATTACTTAATTTCTCCCACTTTATTTCAAATGCAAAATATGATATGCTAAAACATACCTTTTCTTCAAGTTTTACAGAGTCATTATTTAAACATAAATTTTCTTCAAGTTTTGTGAAACCAGAGGGAGTTTCATCAGGAGTGTCAATTCGAATCATCACTTGTATAAGAGAATTTAAGCCAATGTTGTAATCAAATAAAGTATGACCATCTTCTAACTTAAAAAAATAGTGATTCTTCTTTAGATAAAGTTTTCACAATTTTCAGACAAGCTAATGTAACAAATATAAAACTACAATGAAACTGATTTTATGTCAGCTACAATGGCCTAGGCAGGATTTTTTGATGTTTCAATTATAACACTTTCAGGCATTGTGCAAATTTCTAAACTTAACAACGTTTATGTTTATTTCAAATGAGAATGTTTATGTTTTTTGTCAAATAAGAATGTTTATATTTATGTCAAATAAGAATGTTAACTTATGTCAAATGAAAATGTTTATGTCAAATAAGCCAAAAATTGCCATGATTAGAGCTCAAGAACAAAAATATCCTTTGTTGGATCCCCAAAAATTCAACCCCTCAACCCCAAACATGAGGGCAATAAGTTAATAAGACATTCTCCCTCTGTTCTAATTTGCATTTAATGTAAAGAACTATTGAAAATAAATTATGTTGATAATTTCTTAAATTTTTTAAATATAAAATATATATCATTTTATATAATAAAATATATTATTAGGATCAGGGTCGGACTGGCACTGAGAGGCCTGGGGAGACATAGGTGGGGCCCTTATGGTAACAAAAAATGTTGCAAAAATAAGTTAAACCCTTAAAAACCCTTTAAAATTAATGCATATTAACAATAATTAGTTATTGTTAATTTGTATTTTTGTGTGTTTTATTTGTGTATCTTGATTAATAGAGAGGCCTAAACCTTCAGACATAGCAGTGGCCCGAGGGGTAAATACCTCCCAACTACCCTCGCCAGTCCGAACCTGAATAGAATATATACAAAATATATTTTATAGTAAAAAATAAAAAAAAAAAATTAACAACGCAATTTATTTTTAATAATTCATAACAAAGAATTATTGAAAATAAATAAATGGAGGGTTTACTTTTTAGAATATTATATTAAATTTAAATTTATCATCAGGTTTTAAATTTCATTTGATAATAGTTTTCATAGTTTGTCTTTTAACATTTAAAAGTTATGACCATGTAAAATTACCACCCTTCCCAAAATAAGACTGTTGTAAATTTTACATCATAACTTTTGAGTGCTAAATGAATATCAAACTAAATTTAAAAACTGTTGATGAATTTATTTTAAGTATAATATGCTAAAAAAATATTTTATTGACTCATTACTCTAACATTTGGGGTAGGAGAACAAAATTTTTTGGGGTTTTTTAACCCCAGGCTTTATCGCCTTATTGTTTAACACAATTGAAATCATTTACATCAAACTTAATTAGTTTTCTTACTTAATGCTTAAAAAAGTATACTGTATAAATAAATCAACAATAAAAAAATGAATTTAGAAAAATTTTAATGACATTTTTAGCACAAAATTTTATATTATAAATCACGATAATTCTGTTTAAAGTTATTTTTGAACTTAAAATAAAATTGAAGCAACTTGTATTAGAAACTTTTAGGTGTAAATTTTTACCTGCTTTCCTGCGAAAAAAAGTCTTTGCTTTGAAGGTGGCACTTCAAGCTGATCTTTCATTTTTAATCGAAGATCTTCTATTTTTGTAAGCTTACTCAAACCATCTAATTGGAAGCTTTTTTTACCGTCCATTGTTCTAACTTGTATCCACATTTTGAAGACAAAAAATGAACTAAAAAAAAAAAATATTGAAAAAATATATAAAACTTTTTGTAAAAAATCAATAAATTAGCTTTGAAAATTTGATTATATAAAATCCATGAAACACTACTGGTCATTTAGGCAGATTCAATTATGAGACACTGGCTAAATGTCAGTATAAAAATAACCAGTTAGTTTTAAAATATATTGTTTAATTTTTAGTGGTCCTCAACCACTAAAAATTAAATAACATTTTTTCAGAAGTTTTCTCTGCAAATCTTTATAAACCTAAAGTGTTTTACTTAAAATCAAACAGCATTTTGAAATTGAACTTTATGAAAAAAATGAAATTGAATCTTGGCCAATTTCAAAAAAAAATTTTTATTGATATTATTTTTTATTTATTTATTTTTTATTTATTTGAATTTTCATGCTATATTTTTCTATACAATGTTCTTATATTCGAAGATATTGTTGGAACAGCCACAAACAGTCATTAAGACTAATCCAAATTAGCGTCTGTTAATGACCAACATTTTTGCGTACCGAAATACTACTCAAGCGCTGAGTTGGCAGTAGCAGGACTTGAATACATATCGTTCAACAGTCCAAATTTTAACTTTTTGTTTGACGCTCTAACCAACTGAGCTATCCCACCACAACCAACTGAGCTATCCCACCACACTATGTATGCTTATAAATGGATACCTTAATATATGATAAGAAGTTGGAATTATTATGAGCATCATTATTTTTCTTTCAATCAGCATTGACAAATTTTAAATGCACAGTATATTGATTCAAAAAATAAATTTAAGCTTTAAAACAACTAAGTCCCAATGTTAATCTTAAGCTTATGACAATATAATAGTTTTCATGTTAAAGTTTCATGTTTTTTTTTTTTTTTTTTTAAATATTTGCTAATTTATTTACTTAAAGTTACAATAAATAAATAATATAAACAAATAAGGTGTGATACACATTACAGTGTATAGAGTCTAACAACAGTATATGTCAGACTATAACAGCTTTTCACAGTTTTTCATATAATTCTCATAAAGGGTTTTGAATGTATTTAAGTTTTTCGCATCCACATTTTGTGGTAAACGGTTCCATTTGTCCACTATTTTATTTACAAAAAAATTATATCCACCATTTATTTTTTTGCTTTGTTGTTTACATATTTTTTTATTGTGCCCTCTTGTAATTTTTTTTTATAAATATAGGAAGATTGTACCAATTAATTACATCTAAGTTATTCATAAACCTGTATAGTTGCACTATAAAGGCTCTTGACCTTCTATTTTTTAATGTTGAAAGATTAATTTTATTTAATCTATTTTTGTATGATAAACCTTTTAAACTGTGGATACGAGTTGCTCTTTGTTGGACTTGTTTGTTCATATTGATATGTTTTTGTAAACGTGGATTCCATAATGGTGATCCATATTCAAGATAAGGTCTGATTAATGAAGTAAACAATAATCATTTATTTCTTTTATTTAAATATTTAAAAGAGTGTTTTATTAGGCCTAGTTTTTAGTAAACCTTATTGACAATTTACGGACTTCAGATAAAAAAAAATAGAGTATGCTACAGTTCGAATTAGTATATTGGAAACCAACTAATTTAGGAGCTTTATTTTGGAGATGAGATGAATCTTTATTGCTATTTATATAAAATTTATTTATAAGACAAAGTATAAACACTACAATTATTGCCTAATTGTAGTGTTTACAAAGTAAACACTACAATTAGGCAACTAATGCTTAATTTTTTTTTAAGACTATTTAGAAAATAATCTTAAATTGATTAGAAAAATTTTATATTGCTTTGTAATATGAAAAATACTGTTGACAATAATTAAAGTAATAGTATACCCTATTATATTAATATAACAGAATATACTACTATAATAGTATAATACATCATACTAATAGTATAATATATCATACTATTATGATAGTATACCTTATTATATTATAATAAGGTATATTATTATAACAGGGTATACTATTATAATAGTATACCCTAGTATTAGGGAAGATTTTTGATAATCTATAACATAGACGTAGTCTATAAATGAACAAGAAATTTATACAAAAAGAATTAAATGAAAAATTTAAAAAGAAAACAATCACATCAATAACTTATTTGGAGTTTTATCATCACCTTATTATACAGGATCCTATCTAATAAAACCAGCTTATAGACAGTCTAATACCCCATGGAGCGCTTTTGATATACGAAATAAGTTCTTAGTTTATAAAACCCCGCGCGAATTTTAAAAATTCGCGAATTTTAAAAATTCGCGCGGAGTATTTTAAGAGATGGTCGCATATTGTCGTAGTGGGCCGGGTGAATAAAAAAGAGCAATTGCTTTTACTCAGGATTTTTGGAGTAATTGCTCAACTTCACGTGAATTAAAATTTTGAGCAATTGCTCTTTTTTTCGCGAAAGCTTTTACTCATGAGCTTTTGCTCAAATGTTTAGCGATTGCTCACATACTCAGGTTGTTTAAGGCCAGTCTCGGGTTTACTTCGATTATCTGCGGATGACGTATTATTTGTCGTTCAGTTCTCGCGGGATGATTTTTTTTTTTTTTTGATAATCGGGCATTGATTTTGTTATATTACCTATATATTTTACTATTTTTTGACTATTAATATATATATATCTATATATTTTTACATTATGCATTTATTTATAATTATACTAGCACGTTTTTGACACAATTATTTTTTTGGAATATACTTTTAGCAATACTGTTTTAAAAACTGTCTCTTTGACGCTTCAAAAAATTTTGATTAAGACTTTTCAGTATATAGTTTTCCCACATACGGAAGAACAAATTTTAAGAGCAAAACTGGAATGGGCAAACGAAAGAGGCTATTCCTGTACAATAGGAGCTTTTGATTGCAGCCATGCAAGAATTGATAAACCCTATGGAGAATTTGCTGAAGAGCTTAATAATAGAAAAGTGTTCGATTCAATCAACAGCAGAGATGCGGAGTCCCTAAAGGACTCCGGCTTTATATCTCTACTTTTTCCAAGTCTGTAGTGTCTAGAAGTTCTAAACATGTTTGTTGACTTATGATTAGCTATAAGTAAAACATTGGTGAGATTTAATGACTTGAAACTTATTGTTTTTAAACCCGGAGTCCTTGCCGCCATTATACGTAAGGACTCCGGGTTCAAAAAATGATTTTTCCTCTTACCTAAAAGTCTTAATTTTTTTCCTATTAGTAGTCTATAAACTTATTAATATTTTTAGAGCTCCTGGAAACCAAAAACAAGGAAGAAGTAATCTTTTTGTGCTTTTCATATCCGGAGTCCTTTTTGGGACTCCGCATCCCTTTTGTTATACAGCTACTGTTGATTCAACAGTATCTGTGGTGTGATAATTTTATAGGTAAATTAAGCCGAAGATGATTGCTACATGTATCACTGCGAACTTTATACTGCACAATATTGCAAAAACTTTAAACGATTTTCGAGGATTAAACGCTTCATCTTTGGTAAGATATTCGATATCAAAAAATTGTAGAACCACTTAACATTTTTGATGCATCGGAAGAACAACTAACAAAATAATTAAACCTTTGCGACCAAGTCATAGACAAAAAACATTTTACCACATTTGTTGTAGCAATACTGAAGGCGTCCCGTTGTTTTATCATTATAATTTTGCCACAGAGGAGCACCATATAAACAAATGCAATATGACTTAAACAATTTAACCTTTACTCTGGTAGAGCACAAGTAAAAGCGTCTAATTAAAATATTTGTTTGTGTGTAAAGACCCTTCATCTCCTTGGTTATATCAAGATCATCAGTTAGGCCATTTTTAATTATATGGCCAAGGTATTTAAAAGGTTCAACAAAAGCAATTTTACAGCCTGATATGCACAATTCTGGGAAGGAGTTTGATATAATTTTTGATTATTCAGTTGGGTTAAACACCATACATACAGTTTTCTTTGTGTTAAAGGATATGATAATTAAGGAAGATTCCTTATTTGTAAAGCTAATTATTTTTTTTCATTTAAAGGAAGCCGATCATAGTTTTTAACGACAAAAAGCAAAATTGCTTATTTACAACGTTAAAATGGTTAAAAAAAAAAACATGTCTTTTTTTTAAACCATTTCTAGATCGGAGAGAAGCAATTTCGTTGTTAACTAAAATTAACAACAGTGTGATCTGTCATCGAAGATTTGAAGGGAAAAAAAAGCTTTTTAAGATCATCCTTGTAGTTGTCATTTTCAGAAGAAAGTAACTTAGTCATATCAGTAAATTTTTTCTCACCAAAATAAGATTGTTCCTCGACCGAAACATATCTTCAAACCCTAATGTGTATCAGATGGTGTTGTAATTGCAAAACTAACAACCTCCTTAAAATTGTACTTTGTGCCATCTGCATAAAGAACATTGTGCAAAACATTTAACATAGCCTCTCTAACTTGAGCTTTTGATAGAATGTTTATTTCACTAAAAAATTCAACAGCTAAAGATTTTTTGGGAAATGCGACTCTTAAAATTCCAGCCATTTTTCGTAGTACAGTTCTGATACCAGATTCAACATTATTGAAAGAAACATTTCTACTTAAGAGGCCTTCTTAGGCAGAGCGAGTTCCCTCATTATATCTACCTCCTTCTAAAACATCAATTACATTGTTTTCAAAATCGTCAACTCTTTCCATTAGCTTTTCTAGATTTTCAAAGTAATTCAAACTTTCCTGTAAGATTGAATCATTCGTGTCATTAGTTGTTTTCAAAACAGTGCTTTCAAAATTGTTTTTTATTTACCATGCTTTTTGTTGATCTGATTGGAAACGCTTTCTAGCCAAATCAAGTTATTTTTCCTAATTTAAATTTAGTTGCAACAATTGGTTAATCTTACAATCCTTTCTAACATCACTTTTTTTTTTGACATCTTAGACATATTTTGATAAAATCCCTTTATTTTTTCTTTTATATTCATTACATCTTGTCTATTTTGAAATTCAAGGTGCTTAATTCTCTTTTTGTATTTGTTTATTTGATAGGATAAATCACCAGATAATAAAGGTAGTTGTTGATCGAAATTGGAAATTGGGAAATTCTCTTTATTTACTTGAGATTCAAGAAAACAATCATCAGAATGACTTTTTAAAGGTTTGTCTACAATAGAACTTTGAGTAACAGAGCTTGAAAAAACATCATTAGCAGTTTTCAAGTTTAAATCAGAAAATAAACTTAAAGAAGTAGAAATATCTTCTAGAACAAATTCACTAGAATTTATTTCAGAAGGTGTTTGGCTAGAAGTAAGGATAGAACAATTAACAGAAGATAGCAAATCATCAATTTTATTAAATCAAGCGAGATTATTTTTTATTTTAAGTATCTATATTTTCAACAAGGCTTGAAGCAGCCATTTTTAGAGTTACTGGAAGACCCAATATAAAGTAAAGTAACATTCCAGTAACTTCCTAAAAAACCATTTTTAGGAAGTTACTGGAAGACCCAAGATTATAAAGCAAGATAACGATTAACAGATGACTTAAAAGATTGAAAATTATATAAATCAGGAAAACAAGATGAATGGAGAGTATCACAAAAAACTGATGTTTGAGGAAAAAAACTATACAAATAAGAACTTTTGGAGCACTTAGGAACAATAAAATACTATATTATTGTATACAAATACTAACTTAGCAATGATTTGTATATAAGGTTTCCATGAGAGGTCAGTACAAAAAGATACTTAGAGACGATTTAAAGTAGAAGACACAGTAACAATGTTGCCATTCATGAATATAGGAATATTAACAAGATTGCAAATACTTTTTTAAAACTTCGCCAGATACACCATATCATCCAGAGCAATAAAATGTGCGTCACCGCCTCTATCTAATGTTAATTTCAAACCTTTCTATAACAACAGTTAACAGGTCCAAAAACAGATGATTGAAATCCATATGTTTCTTATATCATCAACAAATAGAGCCATCTTTGAGTTTTTCAGGATGATCATTAATGTTGGTTAAAAATGGTAAAAGGCTGAGTATAGAAATTCACCTTGTTAGTTAAATATTGACACTAGCATGAATTTGCAGCGTTTAGTGCCACAGGTTCTGTGTGTTTTGTGATTATGATGTTATTGTTGTGACGTTTTGTGTTGATAGACAACTTAGCTTACCTTCTCGCTGGTATCTATCGTTAAAAATGATTATTAGGTTGTTTTGTTACTCAAACTCTCTACCTCTAATCATTCACTTAAAGCCAAGAGATAAGTTTTAGAATAACATCATTTTTTGTTTTAATGTTGTTTTCACTTTTTTATCTTAGTTGTTGTCAATAGTTCACATAAACAATCTCAAAGAGTAAGTTTATTATTCTATATTTATTTAGCTTTAATTGTTAATTTATAATTATTTTTTATTTTTAAAACCAATTAATCTGTGTGTTTTAATAATAATTTTATTAAAATTTTAGGTTGAGTTTCTGCTTTTACACCTGCTATTGCTGTTGTAAGTACTCAAAATTTTAGGAAGTTCTATTGCTGTAAGTTATTTTCTTTCCAATTTAAATTTTAACTTTATTAAAGAATCTTCTGTCTGTTAAATAGGTAATTCTGAATGATTTAAATATATTTCAATGCCCATACTAATTTACTAATTGGTTTGTAAATTAAGCAATAGTTTTAGACAGATAAATTATTTGGATTCCACGATCCTTTATGCATATTTGCATGGAGTTTTTATAATATAACCCAAATTTAAAAAAAAACAACTAGATAAATAAGTAAAAACACTTTAGTCTGTAAAATTAACAGTTTTTGGATAATTTTGACAGATGCAAAAATATATGGCATATAATTTTATTATAGTTTTTTATCCCTATCAAAAATTTCAAGTCAAATGTAATAACAGTTGGAAATTATCAAATATATTTAAAGTCAAATAGGTTTGTGCAATATAGATTTGTTCAATAGGTTGGTGCAACCCTTTTGTAGTAATTTACTGACCGGTCTGTAAATTATGCAATAACTTCAAATTGGTGTATTTTACAGATTCCATGATTCCTTTATGCATATTTGCATATTTTAACCTTAATTTTTGTTGTTCATTACACAATTAAATAAGTAAAAACACTTCAGTCTGTAAAATAAATGATTCTGTGTGATCTCAGTAGATTTAATAAAAACTGGATTACTATTTAAAATTTTAAGTCAAATATAATAACGGTTCAAAAATATCAAACATATTTAAGGTCAATATGCTTAATTGGTGTGTACATCTATTTT